GTTAATGTCCAGCGACAGAATTCCGACAGTTGGTAGTTTGTGTCAGTAATAATAAAGAGTAAAATGTCTTACCTTGGATAAGATACTCTGCTTTAAGCTGTCGGTCCCAATTCCCAGGCTTTTACCGAAGTAGCTCGGCTGAACAGACGACGAAGATAGTTTTCTTTCTCGTTCTTAAGAGACCTGCTAAGCTGCTTTATCTCGCTGTAGTCGCGACCGACGAGGCCATTTTGAACTGAAAGTCGAGACTTCCGCCGTTCAGACTCCACGAGTTTGACAACCAACACAGCAACATGGACCCTGGAGACAGATTACACACTGGAAAAAAACAGAAAGAAAGAAAGGGAACGGGGTGGAGGTGGAAAACGGTGATTAACCACAAACAAACGGTTGTATTAGTACCAAAAACGCACCCTTATGACACGAACTGCATTTGTACAGGATTACTACTGTAATCTCACACTCTTAGAAAAGAAGCAATGGTCCTATTTAGAACCATGAGTTCTATATAGAACCATTTCCACGCTTAAATGGTTCAGATCGATAGAGAATGTGCTCTATATGGTCCAGTATAGAACCTTTTTTGAACATTTTTCTATATAGTACCGAAAAAGGTTCTGATACTGTTATGATGCCAAGCTTGTAACAACAGAAGAACCCTTTTGGTTCTCTATAGAACCATATACAACACATTCTCCAGAGGTGAAACACCTTAAAAACTATAAGGTTTAGCTTTAAAAAGTATGTAACTGGGCTGTCTTAAAAGTTTGAGTGTATAGAACCTCTAATAGTAAGTTAACAGAGCAATCATCTTGGTTTTACACTCTATTAAAGGGGAATTACACCCATTTTTAATGCATAATTACATGATTAAGATAAACCATTTAGTAAACAGGGCCATTCAGAGTGGTTTGGTGTGAAACGCTCCATTCTAGAGAAACTTAGTGAGTCAGAATAGTTTACAGTGGTGGTGATAGGAGCTCGACGTCTCTAAAAGCTCCCTCACAGAAAGTTCTTGCACTAAATGATTACAAATACGCTACCTGATGCCTGAGATAGTTTCACAGCAGTTCTGAGATTGGTCTGAAACATATTTTTCGAAAATCCTTTCATGGCAGAGAGGTACATGCGGGGTGTTGGTAGGTGAAATAGTCCCCAAAGAAAACGTACTAAGTTTTGAAGTTAAAACTAAAATTTGTTTTTACAATGTAATAAATTATTATAAAAGTAATATAAAGCAACAAATATATTTTTATATATTTATCATACATATATTTTTGCCATTTTTGACAGTTTTAACTAGTCTTAAACAAATAATACTTCCCCACCCATCCAGCTTTTTATTTTGTACATTATGTACATACCAAGAGTCTTTAAACAAATATATAAATAAATAAAGATATTTTAATTCACATTAGAGCCTGAAAACTACAGAAACTTCAATTGCAGGTAAACAGTACCAACCATGTTTTTTCGCACACACACACACACACACACATATATATATATGTATATATATATATATATATATATATATATATATATATATATATATGTATGTATGTATGATGTATATATGTACATTATGTGTATGTGTGTGTCTGCATACCACAGTTTCAGAAATCGAAACTTAAAGGGTTTTAAGAGTTTCACAATCAGTATGATCAACATGAGTACTGGAGGCAGAATAGTGACGGGGCGAGGGGGAAACCTGAAGGCCATTACCTTTATAAACATGTAAAGACTCCTCATAGCACTTTGCCTTCATCTCAAAAGAAATAAAAAGAAAAGTCAGTCTCACAGAGCCTACAGGAACCACCTGCCCAGACTCAGCAAGATTAGTCAACTATGGGGGTAGGATGCCATCTAAAGGCCTAACATGAACAGTTCCTAATGGCAGGGCCAGCACAGAGCTCTTATAACACAGATATAGAGGATGAGTTTAGAACACATGCACTAAGAATTACACAAGGAATACACCTGAGAGCTTTTGTACATCTTTATACTTTCATAATTGAAGTCTGAAACAGAATTTGATAAGGCAACTGATATATATATGTGTATATATATATATATATATATATATATGTATATATATATATATATGTGTGTGTGTGTGTGTGTGTGTTTAGATAAAGGGCCAGGATCTTACTGTTATTTCTGTGTTGTAACTGATAGTCTATCTGTGCACTTTTTCTTATCATTATGATGGATTCTGGGCTGTGAGTGATAAACTTCTGCTACGACAGTAAACTATACTAAATAGGCTGTGGAAAAAAAACATGGAAATCGTATTTGGCCCATATTACAGATGATTCACAAACATTGTGCTTAATAACTGGATGTCACAAAATAGCTCATTTTATATTGCAAGTGTAATGTATACATAAGTAACAGCTCAAATATAATGTTATTCAACTTAAGTCTTGTTTAAGTGTTGAAGTGGAATTCCACGGACATTACAATATTTGTGCATAATTAAATTATTGACATTGTCATTCAGATTCAGGTCAGATGTGAAATGGTTCATTGTAGAGAAACGTATCGCTTCTGATTTCTTTACAGTTGTGGTGATAGGAACTACACAAAATTAGCCATTTTATTTACTAGCTGAAACAGCCAGTGTCTTCTGAGGTTTTATGTGTATTGCTTATTATGGTAAAATAGCATAAAACCTGGAAAACAAGTTTTATTTGGGTACTGTTTTTTTCACAGCAGGCCCAGCATATACACTATAGAGACAAAGGTATTGGGACATACCTCCTAATTATTGAGTTCAGGTGTGTCAGCCACACCCATTGCTACAGGTGGATAAAATTAAGCCCATAGCTTCAATAGACAAACACTGGCAGTAGTACTGATGAGCTCAGTGACTTTAAACATGTCACTGTCATAGGATGCCACCTGTGCCACAAGCAACAACAGCTAAGCTGCAAAGTGGCAGACCACGCAAACTCACAGACTCTTCAGTGGTTGGCCTAGAACGCTTAGTTCCAGTGAAGGGAAATCTTAATGCTTCAGCAGACCAAGACATTTTGGACAACTGTACGCTTCCAACTCTGTGGGAGACAGTTTGGGGAAGACCCTTTTGTGTTCCAGCATGACTGAGCCCCAGTGCACAAAGCAAGCTCCACAAAGGCGTGACTGGGTGAGTTTGGTGTGGAAGATCTTGACTGGCCCTCACAGAGCTCTGACCTCAACCCCATCCAACACCTTTGGGATGAACTAGAACGGAGATTACGAGCCAGACCCTCTCGTCCAACATCAGTGTCTGACCTCACAAACACTCTTTCGGATAAATGGGCAGAAAGACACACTCCCACAGACACACTCCAAAATCTTGTAGAAAGCTTCCCAGAACATTATCACAAAACACATTAACACAAAACTATCGTAACAATGTCTCAGGTATCAGGCAACGTGTTCATAACCATTTCATTTAATAACTTTCTATTATGTAGCTTTTAGAGGCATCACTCCTTTAAAACTCCTCACACGTTTGGTTCCTATCACCACCACTGTGAACAGCTCTTTAAGATGGTTTAAAATTTTTCAGACAATCCAACTTAATACTCCTGACCAGCTTAATGCAACCCAGTTGACATAATTCAGTTTCTCTGGACAAGGACGAGTCTCCAAAGACCAAAACTGTAACTTTCATTTGAATAAATCATACCGAGAGAAAGCTTATATTCAGAACCACTGTGGCTTCTTTCATCCTAAACTGAGGGACAGTAGAGACATTTAGGTTTAGGCTTATGCATTCTTGCAAACATGACGTGGCCCCTGATAGGCTGCGCTGAACCAAATGTAGACTAATTCGGATTATGACAAAAGAAAATTATGCAACTCTGTCTGAAAGCTTCTTTAGACTGGTCAGGTTGTTTTCCTCCAGTAATGTGGTACACAGTGCACACAAGCCAGTATAACTCTGGAGATCCTGAGGAGAGAACACACGGTGAGTTTAGACCTACTGTTTTCCATTATGAAGCATGCTTGTGAAAAAAGGAAGAACATTTAGAGCTTTTTGTTGTAACTTTTGTTGCTTCAGTCATTGAAATTTAATCCAGTGAACCAATTTCTCGTTACAGCGGTTCAAAGTGTTGGCAGTGGAGACCCCAGCAGAATAAACTGACCGTTTGTCCCACAGGCAAGATGGTGCAGGAAATATGTGTTTTCTTATTCTCGTTGACAGCCCTTGGGGTCCTTCACATCATGAACACTGTGCCAGCGTTTCAAGAGTAAGTTCTCACTTTTGTGATCTGTTTCTAAATGACAAATGATCTCACTGCAAACCTGTTAGGCCCAACTCAGTTTTTGGAACATCTGCATAGTGTATAGTCTACCGTTTAGTCTGAACGGGTGAGTATTTCTTACAAATCTGGTGTTTTTGGGGTGTTTATAACTGTCTGCCACTAGAGGGCAGTAAAAGACCTTGCAGCATTTTGATATCTAATTGTTAAAAAACAGAAGGATATAGATGCTCTTAGAGGAAGTAACTCAAAAAATTTGAAAGTAAAATGCTGAAAACTGTTAAAATCATTTAAAACTGATTTCATGTTATGCTAACAAGCAAAATATGCTGAAGTTCAGCATCTACAGTTAACAGCTCAAATTGTAACTTCGATTCTGTGAATTAAAGCTTTACCATGTGTATTTATACTGCTACTGTTGACTCTTCTCGCTGGCTAATATTCACATGACTAGCCAAAGTTCCAGTGCAACCTTTGACCACATAGTGGGATTACTGCCGTGCTGGAATTTCAGTGTGATATCAAGTCTGGAGTAAATTCAGGCAGATTAATGAGGTGAAGGTTATATTTCATATCTATTTCATACCTGTTTTGAGAGTAAGTTTAGCACCATGAGGTGCCAGGAGAACTCCCTCGTAATCATCTACCCTCCATTACTCTGTAATATTCATTCACGTTGGTTCTTTTCACTGAATTTGCCAGTCAGTCCTCTGCAGTTAAAATGAGGGCACAAATGTACATTTCCATAAACGATGGTAACAGCTATAAACCTCTGGTGACTTTGATACAAGCATTTACATCTGAAAGGGGAGTTCCACCAAAGTTTCTACATAAAAAAGAGAGCAGAGGTTGCAATGTCTATAACACAGATAAATCCATTTTATTCATTATCTAAAATGACCAGCGAACCTACAGGTGTCTTCTGAATGTTTATATAATGCTGATAAAACAGCCTGAATGTACATCTCTGAATGAATACGTTTAAAAATGTTCACGACCAAAAGCTTATCTCAAAACTATTGAAACTAACAAGCATCAAGAAATGTATTTTTGTGTAATAACTTTTAGAGGCATTACATTTTTCAGACCTCTGGTTCCTATCACCACTGCCATGAACAATTTTGACATCAAACCACTCTGGAATGACTTTCTTTACATTGTAATGATGTAACCATCCAGAAATGTTGAAAATTGGGTGCTATTTCCCTTTACCATACTGTTTCCTGATATAACAATATAGCTCCTCCATTGATGTTTTCATCTCTTCTCAGTAATTATGGACAATGCAGATAATAAACATGCAAAATGAAAGGAAACAAAAAGTGGAGAATCTGTAGCATTTTGCTTTTATAAACTTCTGATAGTGTAGATGACTTTTTAACAATGTTTTATTCAATCTGCAGGCCTACGGTGATCATGCAGACTGGACTGGCCGTTTTACTGATTGTATTCCTGTTGATCTACCTCGCTTCCCGCTACAATCCGCCGAAGGATCCTTTGTTCTACGGTATGACTTTTGTAACTCCTAACAACTTCATTCGTCCAGTTGCTCTAAAAATATCTCAAACAACCATACACCAAAATATCTCAAACACCCATACGCCAATTCCACCATTTCATAATTCACCTAGAATTTATACTGTCCAATGAGCTATGTCAGAAATCATCAGCGAGACTGAAAGCTTAGTCGGCTTTATTTAGTAACACGTGAAGGTAGGTCACACATATTTACATGAATGGCTCTCATTGTGTATTCATTGGCAAAGCAGATTACTCTGATCAGGATCAGTGGAAAGCTGTATCCAAACTGCCATTCCGGTGGAGTGACTCACTGCCGGAACGTGAGAACCTGCACACGTCAGTTCACCCTTAACCCTGCTGTAGGGCAGTGCTATATGGACAAACTACCATATTACAATTATACTGAAATTGCAATGTATTTTGTGATATAATACAAACACATTGATAAAAAAAATACACACATCACTCAAACACATCACTCCCAATATCAAGTTCATTACTAGTTCAGACCATGTTTTTAATACGGTCACAGTCGGACTAAAGATTGGGTGACTTCTGCTTTAAAGGGGAATTCCAATATTTTTTTTTTATATTTTTGCATGAATAAACAGTTAAGATGTAAACAAAGCCATTCGGAGTGCTTCTGTGTGAAATGCTCTGTTCCAAAGAAATTACCAGAATTGTTCACAGTGGTGATGATAGGAAACAAACGTCTGAAGATTAAAATGCCTCTAAAAGCTACTTTACTTAACGTTATTACATAAAATGGTTATGAATACACTGCCTGATTGTTTTTTGATAGTTTTGTGATGAGCTTTTGGCCTAAAATGCACTTTTAAAATCTATTCATGGTAGAAAGATACATGCAGAGTATTATGAGGCATTTTTTTCAGATTTTCTATTATTTATCATGATCAACATTACATATAAAACATGGAAGATACATGCAGGCTCACCAGTGGTTCTGGATAGTAAATAGAATGACTGTTTGTGTTGCAAACATCTTGACATGTGGTTAAAGAAGAATGAGTTGAAAAGGTGAAAAATCAGTGAAATTCTCCTTTAACCCCTTAACATTCCAGGCTTATTAAATACTAAGGCTTTTATTCATTAACTACAGGGACTTTAATGCAAACTAATGGTGCTTTACTTAGGTTATAGAAGTCTGTACTAAAACATTGCTTGGAAAGGGGTTAAACTAGAAGGCCAGACCCCTCTTTTGAACAGAAGTAGGACTGATGAAAAAACTTTCTCCTGTAAAGTTACCATTTTGGAGATACAAGGTTTTGTTCTGACAACAGCGATATATTGTTTCGCCCTACCCCACATCACCTTACAGAGAGAGGAGTAAACACATTAGTAGATGACTATACCATTTTCCCCATAGCAGCTGTATCTCTGAGATACAAGGTGGTCTGTTATTTCGATAACAGCATCAGCGTCTGACAGGGTGAATAGTGGGGCTCAAAGTCATCTGGTGTACAGCGGAACTTAACGCTAATCCCCTGCTAGGATGGAGGAATTGATAGAGCCCATCTCACATGTTAGCCAGGTAAGCTAAACCAAGCCCTCCTGAGGATTAGAGGGGCATATCTGCAGCAGAATGAGGGAGAAAGAGTCAGACAGAGAGAACACCACTATCAGGCAGTATATCAGTGCACAGCAGACCCGTCTTAGACGCCCGCGACGCGGCTCTTTTCTGCTCGACCTCATATCAGCGAGGCCCTCCATCAGATACTTCAGGATGCCAGCATAAGGACAGTTTACAACATCTGCTCTTGCAATCCAACCATGAAATTGAACACAGAGAAGATATCTGCGCAAATCCGTCGCACAAGGCACACACTTGTGTTCCTGATTGTACACTGTCACTTTCTTTTCTCTGCATCCACATATGATGTGACAATGAAAAAGACCACCAGCTTTCTGTTGAGTTTTGTTTCTTCGCAGTTTGTTAATAATGTGTCTTGTGCTGTGATTCAGCTGTATGGAGACATGACGGTTAATTAGCTTAGTTAATTCAGCTACTTTAAGGTGCACCCACACACGTTGTATATTCTCCTTGAAACAATAACAATAAATAATGATGATGATAATGATATGTTTAATTTATATAGACTATAAACAAAACAATCCACAACACACAGTTCCCCCACTGGCAGGGTGGGAAACTCCCCAGACCATGGCATATTGTCCCTTAGCTGGCCCAGAAAGAGTCCTTAGACTCTTCCAGAAAGAGGGAAGGTCCCTCACCGGCTGGAAGGCCTCGTCACACAAGCACCCAGCCCAGGCAGCCTCATAGCTGTGGTGTAGCATAGCTCAAGTGGCCGAACTGGGAAGCCTCATATCCCAGATAGAGTGCTCGGCCATGAGGAAGGTCCCTCTCCACCTGGGAGGCCTCATAGCTGCAGTGTAGCGTAGCTTCAGCGACCAGCCCAGGCAGATTCATAGCTGGGGTATAGCATAGATCAAGTAGTTGGCCTGGGAAGCTTTGTAGCTGCAATGTAGCGCAGCTCCAGCAACCAGCCCAGGCAGCTTCATAGCCACAGTGTACCGTAGTTCAAGGAGCCAGTCCGGCAAGCCTCATAACCTAGAAAAGAGTCCATGGTCGTGTGGAAAGCTGCTGAACAGCCTGGTACACCTTGCGACATACCGCTGCTCAAGTGGCCAGCAAGAGAAGCCTCTGACCCGTAGGCGAAAGTCACGATACAGTGGCAAACTCCTCGGCCAGTGCAGAAACATCAAAACATACGCACAACGATTACAAAACAGTACACAAACCAAACAAAACTGTTTTTGTGGCAATTCTAGGATTTTTACTAGGCATCCAGTTCCTGCTCTGGGGCCAAAAACATGCCTTTAATTTTAAAGTGCTCCATTATTAAGCAACGATACTGCTGATTCATCTCAGTCCATATATTATACAGTGTGTTTTACACTCAGTCATAGACATCATAAAATATCTAATCATCAGGCCCATAATTTCACAGCTACCATATTCAGACATGCAAACTTATAAACAGTGAAAACCCCCTGTAGAGGGATCTGGAGTATTTTTTATTGATGTTAACATAAATTAATTAAGCCTTCTGGTGCACCCTTAACAATTAAATAGAGGGAAACGAGTAATTGCTGTAGAATGATTCAGCTCATTCAGTTCAACAACTATACAAATACCAGTCAAACGTGTACTGCTTTCCAAGCATTTGGTATTATACTGAGCTCAAAAGGTCAGTGTATGAAATTTGGCAGGCATCATCTTGTATGACCCTTTTTCAACTATTATTAAAATAGAGTGCATTCTAAAAAACTCTGCCTATTATTTGTGTTCTATCCACTAAAAGGCATATACCGGTTCCATAATCAGCATGTTGTGCTTGGACACCTATGATTGCCACTTGCCATGTATACTGTAGATGTTCACTTAGCTCTCATAGCAGTTACAACAGTCCACAGAATTCAATGTGTTCTACATCAGTTTCAACAAAATTGTTGCTAATTAGCTTGGTTGTTTTACACATTCATTAGTTCAGCAGCTGTTGAAGAAAGAAATCAAATGCATGAAAATTAAACCAAATTCACCTCTTACAAGACTTTGCTCTCTTTCAAGGTTTAGGTGCCTAACTATTCCATGAAGCTTCCATGGATCGGTACAATTAAGGCACAGGAAAGTTCAGGAACTTTAGTTAATGTTATCCAGCTCTAACAGCAGTCGTGAAACCTTTGCACTAACATCACAGAATAAAATAAAAAGAACGTATCTGTATATAAGAACCATGATCTGCTGCTGGGGAAATGCTCGTCATTCAAAATGGCATATTTCACCAAGGAGCGATGGGTTTGTATATATAACAACCAATGACATGCTTGGAGGTGATGTGCGACAGCAGAGGGGCACTTAAGGGGCCAGTCAGAGTCGAGTGGGACGCTCTGGAACAACAGCTGCACTTAGGCCTAAGGTCACCATGCCCAATGCCAAGTAAGGGGATATAACCCCCCCCCCAGCATTAGGCTGTGGAGCAGTGGAAATGTGTTCTGATGGAGCTCCATCCAAAACCTAGGGAGTGGCATTTATGGTCCATAACTAATCATCCAACATCAGCACCTGAACCCCAGCTCTTATGCATGCAAAGGTGTCTACAAACCTTTGCATCTATCTATCCATCCATCCATCCTTTATATACGTTTATACATGGAACGAAGTGCATAAACGCTTCTTCAGCCTTGTTACTCCATCTGTATGTGCTCTCTTTCCTTTTCACCCCACTGTCGCTCATTATTATTTGCCTGCTGGACTCATCAGGAAATGCCACATGATGCTGCTGTCTGTCGCAGTGAAGTGCCCTTTTTGCCACAGCTGTGCTTCGTAAAGGAAATCAACACAGACGTCTAAATATAAACCTCTCCCTTAAACCCTCCAGCTTACAGACATCATAATGCCTTTGCCGCAGTGCATGAAATCAATAGTTGGTGAAATGTGTTTTAATAAAGAAAGTGGTCGTTGTGTCAAAGAGGTCATTGTGGTTTGCTCGTTACAATAAAATAAAGCCCTTATTGTGTACATTCTGTAAATAAAGCCCTGATCTGTGCTATAGTGAGAATTTTATTGTTTCCAGGCCTTTTAATAACTCCTACAATCATTTAAATTCAGAATTTTAAAAGAGCTGTGAAAGAGTCTAATTACAAAGAAGACAGATGCCTTTTTCCACTTCAGCCTTGATTTGAAAGAAAATGAAGTGAAAGGTAATTGTTATGTCTCTAAAGCCGAGAGCCGTTGAATATCTGTAATTTTCTCTCCATTGTGTGAATCCAAGCCAATCTTTGTAACAACACGCTTCACAAAGGGCTGTGTGCAAATTCATGACCAAGACCTGTTATAAGTTCTTTACATTTAGAGAAACAGCGATCTTATGAGCACATAAGATTCTTTTTCACTTTAGATCTCTGTGTTCTTCCCCTCAGTGTTTGCGGAGTTCTGCTTCACCTGTGTCATCGACATCGTAAGCGCTTTGGAATATGACGGCTTTATCTCTGGATACATGGACTTCTACCAAAAGCTGGTCAGTTTGGTCAGGTTGAAGCTTCGCTAGTAATCCTAATCACTGCTCTCTGAGCTCCAGCTGATGTTAACTTGCCTGTCCTCCAGGGGGAGCCGTACCTTGGGTCAGCATATGCTATCATGATGTGCTACTGGGATGGAATAGTGCACTTCATCATCTACCTAGTGTTGATACGCCGCATGTCCAGCAGGTGGGTATCGTTGGTTATTTCTTTAGTTTTGCACTGGAACTACATAGCAGTGTTGCCAACAAATAACAGAGGATTATACCCCACTAATTAGCATGCCTAAATCATCACACACTTGCCTCAAACATCATCAAGTTGTAAATCTCTAATAGACTTGTTTACTTGGTTTCTGACACTGTATGAGATCAGTGTTCAGGCTTCAAGTTGGCTGCTTCTACTACAGGGAGATTCACTCGAAAGAGGCCTCGAATATTCTGTTGTAACTCCCGTTAGGATGAAGCCATCTTAACCAAAAAAATACACTACATACCTTGACATATGTGTAATTAATTGCATTACATGTGATGCTGGAAGTGATCTCCGCTTTCTGCCAGACACATCGGCAAGCATCAGAGAGGTTAAACGTTGCAACAGCTGTCCGGCGCCTAGCTCATCGCTCCGACGCAGGGGCATCCCGGCTCGTATATATCCATATACTGAGGAGCACATTGCATGTTATTTCGTTCAGATTGCTTTGTCCTAACAAGAGTTATTACAGAATATTCGGGGCCTCTTTCGAGTGAATCACAGTGTATTTTTAGCTACGTGTATGTTCTCACAGAATGAAAACAATAAAACAGGTCTGCCCAAAGTGGCATCTGCTGGCCAAAACTGACCCATGAGGATGTCCTATTTGGCTCACCAGAAAGTTACTCTAACTATAACCCCTCACCCAATAAGAGGACAAATATGTTGTAGTGTTCACTGCTATTAAAAGAGACACAGCTTTTGCGCAAGTCATGGTGCTTTATGATCCAGCTGTTGTTGGCCACAGCTACACCGTACAACAGCAGAGTTTTCTCTAACAGCTCGCTCTAAGCCTCAGCTCACACCACACTCTTAACTCTTCAGCTCTTGACTGACTTTCAGTTCTTCCTGCTCTCACACACATCCCCCCCGACTCTTCACAATAAGAGTCCTTATCAGAATAAGCACATAAACAAATGCTGAAGAAATAATAAGCCAAACTAACTTGTCAAAAACATTTCTCGGATATGCTACAATATTTACTTTTTATTCAACTTATTTAATTCTTGAAATTTGTACACTGAACAAAAATGTAAATGCAACACTTACTGAAAAAATTTAACCCCCCCCCCTTAAATAACAGATTGGGTTATGAAACAGAAGTCCAACATTAGTATTTGGAGTGACCACCACTTGCATGTAGCAGTGCGACACAGTTCTAAGAAATCCTTTATTTCCTGTATTTATACCTTTGTTCGGTATTTCTGTAAATATTTTGGTAACATATAGTATAACCCAGGCTTATTACATACTAAGGTTTATTATTCAGTAACTACAAGAACCCCAATGCAAACTGGTTGAGCTATTCTTAGGTTATAGAAGTGTGTAATAAAACTTTGGGCCTGCTGGCGGTCCTGGCCTTTTAATGCTTTAATGTTATCCATTTTTAAAAACAAAATTTGAAACCTACTTATCTTCTGTCTACCTTTTTAATTTGAGCTATTTAAGTTTTTTAGCCCTTGGCCCACCAAAAACATTTCACTTTGGCCCTCCAACACAAGAAGCTTTGGTACCCCTGATCTAAAAATGCAGGGCAGTGATGGGTAAGTAGTGCTGGGCCAAAATAAATAAATCCTTTTCTTTTCAGGAAGCCTTACCGCAGTTTGGGCCTATTTTGGGCTGGATCGCTGTTGGCCAACATGACTGTATTTTTGATGGGGATAGTAGTTGGTGAGTAAAAAAACTACTTGATGGCAATATTGGAATAAATAATGTAAAAACAAATAATAAAACTGAAAGTTGAGACATAAATACAAGGCCTAAGGTAAATTTTGTAAGATTTCAGCTGACCGCATTTCCTCTGACCCACTATACTGTAACAGGTAAATATGGCTCAGAGATCTATCCTGCCTTCTGGATCAACATGCCTTTCTTATTGCTGCCTATATGGGGAGCCATATGCCTGTTCCAGAGACAGAGGGACATGCCTGCTGTGGCTGTATCTAAGGTAACTGCATACATGTTTGTGATGATTTCCTCAAAATTAGCCTTTCATAATGGCCATTACTGCCCAATTCCATGTATCAAATAAGGCATAAGAATGTTGATGTTCATGTCCTGTAGGCGGTACGTGAACAGAAGAAAGCTCTGATCTGGCGCCCTCTGGACCTCTTGCTTGTCATCTATCTTCTGGGTGCCATGGGCTTCACGCTTTTCAGGGGACTGGTAAGTTAAAGGGGAATGCCATCAGTTTTTTTCTGCAGAATTAAATCATTAAGATGTGAACAGTCAATCAGAGTGGTTTGATGTGAAATGCCCCATTATAGAAAAACTCAGCGAGTCAGTAATGTTCACAGCAATGGTAACAGGAACCAGATGTCTGAAGAGTTTAATGCCTCCCTCCCTCGCAGAAAGTTATTACATGAAATAATTAGCCTCAAGTCTGACAAACAGTTTTATTATTTTAGTTTTGAGATAAGATTTTGGCCTAAAACCTCATTTTTAAATCCATTCATGGTGGAGAGGTACATACAGTGTTGTAGGAAAACTTTTTTTTTTGGACTGACCACTATTTTACCATCATCAACATTACATATAAAATATCAGAAGACACATGTAGTTTAACTGTTGGTTTTGAAAAAAAAATAAGATGACTACATTTGCGTTGTAGACATCCCAATCCTCAGTTCCCATCACTGCACTGTTGTAAAGACATCCAGGTTGGTAAGTTTATCTACAATGAACCATTTAAAACCACTGTGAATATCTTTGTTTACATCTTAATGATTGGAAACATAATGGTGGAATTTAAGATCCATCTTAAGGTCCAACTTTTGGTGCTGCCTTTAGGCCGACCAGATGCTAAGACTCTAATTTGGAATACAAGAACTTTGTTACTTACAGCTTACACTGATTTCTAGGCAGTTAGGTTACCCAGACCACTACAATGAAATTGCTTTTGGTTTAAGTATTGAATGACCAATGCTTGCAGCTCAGCCTCAAAGAAAAGTTGTCCATTTAAGGCTAATATTTTTTGCTGAATGCTGTATTTTTGTGTTTCCATGTAGGCAGTCCTGGATTGCCCAGTGGAAGCCTTTACAACATACACAAATCAGTATGAGCCATATTTGAAGGATCCCGCGGGCTTCCCCAAGGTTATGGTAAGAATATTCTGTTAGACTGAGGTTTCCTCAGCAGAGAATCTACATGTTTTCCAGTAATCTCATTTACACAGTGTAGATAACCACATCATGCATTCAAACAGAACTGCTCAGGGCAAGCTCCAAGCCTGCTTTCCCTCCACTTCCTTCCACTCAAAAAGATAGCAGTGATCAGATTCAGATACCATTATTCAGTATTAGCACACGGTATGAGGGGTGAACACCCAGAGCGATTCGGCCTCCTACTATCCCTCTTCTCTGTCACTTAATCTTTCTCTATTTACGGTCCCGGCCCACCTTGGTGTCAAACATGTTTTGGATTGGTTTGGCTCAGGGTTTTAGTCGGGCCAACAGGTTATCAAGAGTCCTCGTTCGGGTTGGAGTCGAGGCGTGATGGCAGGCCATCGATCAGGCAGGAGCTGCGCTGTGAGGAGTTGATAAGCTAATCTTTCCCCTGAGTCCACACTGAAGCCCTCTACCAGACCCACCCCCCCTCCACACGCACAGAAGAGATAGACCTTGTGCAGTGTGTGTGTACTGAGGGATAAAGAATGAACTGTATTGTTTATACTGTGTCAATATGTGCAAACCTGGTATACTCACTAGATACAAATGTATGCACATATTTGCAAATATATGGTAAGCATCTGGCATGTGTACAAAGTAGTGGTGGGCAATATGACAATATGTTATTGTTATCATGGAATATTACACCAAAATATACTTTTGTGAGTATATCATGGGTAAGCAGTACTTCTAAAACACTGAACAACTGCAGGGACTATAAAAAAGACTTACAGAGAGCCTGTAAACAACAACCAGTGTACAGTAACTGCATCAACGGCACACGATTAACAAGTAGCTGATAGATACCAGCCCATTATGACATTAGTTTATTTATTTTTCAGATTTCCTGATTTTTGCTTCTAAAATAGTGTTTTTGCAAATGCTGAATTAAAAAAAATCAGTTTTTCACAGTCAAAGGGCATTCCTACCTAATGTCATTTGTCATATTATGCAGTATTCTGTAGTGCAGCGTTGTATCCCTCAGCCTCATTGGAGTGGCCTCACCGTGGGACCGGAGGCAATGTTCAGGAAGCAGAGCTCGAGACTCATGCGCCGTCCCCATTCCTTTGCGGATGTCATTCTCTCCCCGCCATCATCGTGGGGGTTTGTCTGTGCTCTGGGTTTGGGCCCCACCTTCCTGCCGTCTCTAGTGGCCATCACTGGGGCTTGGGGGACGGGCGCATGGCACAATTGGTTAGACAGAATTCATGATTTTTCATGCCTTTGTTCATCAGCATTCTCTCAGCACAATATCCAGCATGCATTACGCAAATACATTGTACATCCATTGGGAATCCTTGTGGTGTCAACCAATCCAATCCAGTGTGGTACTATTATTTTGCTGGTGCATTTTGTCTGTTCAGTTGTCTTCACAAACCTCAGAAAAACGAAATATTGTGAAACACACAGAGATGGTGAAAATGTTTTAAACATAATCAGTCACCATGCTTTTGTTAGTGGCAGTATTGGCAGGCGGAGTATTCGTATTGGGGCCCATAGCATGGGAAGCCAATGGCACCTGGGCCCACAGTGGTTTTACTGGACAGTTGGATAGCTGCAATAACTTTCAAAAATGCCTTAAATATACCGATACGTTTATTAATATACTTCATACAATAGCCTGCACTGGAGCATCCACTTGGTTAGAACATGTCCTAACCAAGTGAGTTTTGTAGGCGCATGCCTTAGGGTTCTGTGGGCTTCAGCTGCCCTTCTAAACGACTGATGCTGATAAACCACTGCAGACAGATGCCCAAGCACAGCACTGACTCTCTCCACTGAGAACAGCAGGCCATATTTGATTGGCTCTCACTCCTTTCCCCTCATTCATTAGGATTCATCAAGGCCACAGTGAAGTGCATAAGCAATTTTCCGAAGGTATATCTGGATCCCATTACTGCGGCAACATGACTTTCATGCTTCAGTAATTCACTTAGCGAGCCGGCACTCAAAGTCGTCCACTTGTTTCTTTCTCTTTACATACGTTGTTGCAATCTAATGCCTCTGACTGACAAGGCAATGACACAGGTTTGTGTGTGATCACTCGGTAATGTGCCTGTGATTGCCAGTACGGCTGCTCCTCTCTGTATTCTGGAAGGGCAGCTGGAGCAGCAGAAGCGATGATACCCTTGAGGGTGAAGTTGAACTGCATTAATTTGCGATCAGAGCAGTGCAGTGCAGTGCAGTCCAGGCCAGGCACTGCTGACTCATATACAGAGCTGCTGCTTGTTCTCTGATGCAGTGATCTCTACTGTAGATGCTGCTGCTTCTCTTCCATGCCCTGCCCCTGTTCGGCTTGTTTGTGTACGGACTGATAACACCCGGCTGCACCTGGATGCTGGACTGGACCGTCTACGTTGCTGGTGCTATCTTACAGGTAAAGTGGTGCAAATACACAACCCTGACTAGCTTTATCTGAGAGAAGTATTTAAACCTTAAATCTATGGACATTTTGCCAGTCATTTGTATACAACCCTTTTATCTAACACAAACTGATATACTAACTGCCCTGAGAAGATAACTGTCCTGCAGGGAAATTGGTCTGGGCCATTCAGATCGCCTCAAAATGACTCCTGACACAGTTGTTAGCGATGTGTCACCTTGTGATATGTTAGGAATATGATTATTTTCAGTAACCAAATGGTGCAATAATATATACAGTATCATAGTCAGTCATATCATATAATTTTGCAAAGTATGTAACACAAACAAGGGATTTGTCTTGGAATGTGCACACATGTAACAAACTAAACAAACCTGACACGTATCTAAGATCGTTCTAGAGAAAATAAAACATATTTACTAACAAAACACAGAAAATTTCTATGAGAAGAGTCAAAATAAGTGAAAATCCATCCTCTAGCGAGTGCAAAAAACATGGAATTTTTCTGCAAATTTTAGTGCACAATTCCTATTTATTTGCTGAGTTTAGCATATTGGAAAAAAATAAAACACAAGCTATAAAATATGCAATAACTTTTGCACAGGCCAGATTCTGAGTTTTATTTTCTGTCCTGTGTGTCAAAGCAGCACCATGTTTTTTGGTTAAAATTGGTAAACTAGCATTACTGAGTTAGTAAAAAAAAAAAAGCTAAAACATGCTGTCAGTGCGCTGTTGCGAGTCACCCTGTAAAGCCTGAAATCATAATTTAAAAGTCTGAAGGATCGAGTCAGATTTCACAGGAGTTTTTCAGACCACGTTAATACATCTTTACATATTAATATCACAGGCTTAAAAAGAAGGTCAGACTGGATGTTTAGATCCCAAATGCAACATCAATATTATACTAATGAAGATTAGTATAATATTCATGTTTTCTCTGTACAGTGTATTAACTTAGAAAATCAACAAAATATGTAATCTGACCAAGAGCGTCCAAACTTGTACATATCGTCTTTTGTGTGTATGTGTGTGTATAATTGTGTTAATATATGTGTGTGTGTGTGTGCGTGTATATATATATATATATATATATATATACACACACACACACACACACACACAATCAGCCATTCATAATATGAAATCAGATATGCTGCTGATGGAATTTGAAGGAAAATTTAAACATTTTTTCAAAATTACTACTTAATTCAGTATCTGAAATGTAAAAAAATTATTAATTCAGATTGGTTTGATGTAAAATGCACCATCCGATAAAAAAGCACTGACTGAATTTCTTTACAGTGGTGGTGATAGAAGCCTGCGGTCTGTAAAGTGCATGGTTCTGTCTAAAGTGCAAGTTGCCCACCGCAATTTGTTTTGTTAAATTTTAATCACTTCCTTTTCGCTTGTCTGAACGGATGAAGGGGTGAGGTCACATCATGAACCAAGGTGTGTATTTAATGGTTAACATATGCTTAATTTTGCTACATGATACAAAAAAGGAGGATACAATGTACTCTTAGCACAATAATGCAAAATGTGCACAATGTAAGTGGCTCCGCCTCAACATCTTGCCCGCAGATAGGATCCTTAATGTATATAAATGACACCAGACAGAAAATAATACCAGGATGGAGAACTGAAGTCTGTTTCATCTTGCTTGTCCATTATAATCTGGCCTCTCCTTCCACTGCATTATGTCTCCTGTTGCTCCAAAGTCAAAGTCTGTCCATTATAATCTGCTGTCTCCATCTGCTGTATTGTGTTTTTTCATGCTGCTTCGAAGCCAGGGATGGAGTTTCCTGTCTATGGTGGTGTTATAGAAGAGAGGCCATCAAACATGACTATGATCAAAGTCCCGGTCTGTAGGAGCTCATCTGGCTCCCTTCTCGCTCACAGTATGGGGGCAGAGCTGCCAGGGGAGTCAGCATTTCTAATCAAAGCAGTACACGCAACCGTGCTGGATACTGTAGCAGCTCTCTTACAGCCCCCACTGTAGACGCCTGGCTGTAGATACTAATGAATGTGGCTGAACCTCAAAGTGGAAGAGGACAACATCATATTTCAGTCTCTTTATCTCAGCCTTTGAGTCATATACTGCAGATGTGAATCTCTAAAGACCAGATCTGATTTTTACTACAATTGTTCTCATAAAAAAGTACACAAAGTGTGATAAGTAACATGACAGTAAGTATATCTGTTTTATGTTTTGGAAAGAGCAAGAAATTCATATATGCTTATTAACAGATAATACTGACAGTCTAGGACCCAGCAGCTATTAGTATATCACTTAATAGTGTGTCATTGTGATTCTAAACCCTAAATTAGAGTTGTTTTGTGTACATCCAACTTTGTAATGTGTAGTAACTCAATAGTTAGCCTTTATCATGAAGAAGTTATTGAGAAATAAGATTAATAACTAAACAATGGTCACCACAATTCAAACAATTATTGAGCCACATATTCATAATTGAGTGGTATCCAAGCCGCCTCCTGGAGATCTACCTTCCTGCAGGTTTCACCTCCAACCCAAATCTAACACAAACCATTCCGCTAATCTAGCACTTCTGAAGGCAATAATTAGATGGATCCTGTGAGGTTGGAGTCTAAGGAAGGTGGATCTCCAGGAGCAGGGTTGGTGACCATTGGCCTTGAGTTTAGGGGCTAAACAATACAATAATACAATAAAGAGAAACTCATTGATGATGACTGTCCTTAAACTGCTCAGTACCACACAATTACGATTCTAATCCATAGATTTGAACAGAACTAGTCTATCTGGGATCAACTTTATCAAGTATAGCAACTCAATAGTAAGTCTTCATCATAAAGTTGTTATTAAGCACGAATACAAATAAGCCTCAAGATATCAAATGGCTAAAAGTATAATGGCTTAAAAATGTCCAATTTACACAATTCTACTTTCCTACATGTAATCGATGAGCCAAGACATGTATGGTGTCCAAATTTTCCTTCTTACCTTAGGGCTGGAGCTATGAGGCTGAAGTTACTCACAAACACTAGAAGTCAATAGTCACCAAAATCTTTTTTTGTAAATACATCTTCAAAACGTTTCTCAACATTTTCAATAAGTTGCACAGACTTGTTACTGTGGTTTAGGACTAAAAATGCAGGCGTTGTCTAAAAGGTCTGCCTGCTGTGTTAAGCTAAGAGTAAAGAGTAAGAGTAAAATTTTCTAAATTGTTTTTTTTTGTCAAACTATTCCTTTCCGAGAGCAAACAATACAAATAATATAGCACAGAGAATTTTTTTGACTTAACAGCACATTATTATGTCTCTAAACCCTGGAGTTGTATAGGTTCAGCTTTTTGATGGAGTATTTACTGGATAATAAGACTTACAACCGAATAATATTACAAGAGTTTATGGGGTTCAATAACTTAATACTCCAATAAAGAATTAACTATATCGATTGACTGCCAGTTTGCCACTCAGTAGCACACAATTATGATTCTAACCACTGAATTGCTTTGCAAAGCTTCAGCTTTATCATGTGCAGTAACACCACTAGCCTTGTGTGGTCTGTTTTGATCTCTCTGTAGACCCAGTGGTGTCATATTGGAGCCACTCTGCACCCACGCACAGCTGAAGCATACCGAGCTCCTGAGTCGACCCTCCTACCCGTGCTCCTCCTTAACCTGCTGTATGCTGTGGGGCCGCTGCTGCTGGCCCTGCGCTGCACAGGGGATCCTGCCTACTTTCTGTCAACTGCACCTGTGGGTCAGGCCAACAATGAGAAGAAGTGGAGTTAAACTGACCGTATCTCAAACAAGACACGACAAAGATGAATATTACCCACAGTTCAAAAGAAAATGTGCATGGAAGAGCAAGAAAAAAGAAATCAGAGTTAGGTTTTGCATATATTAAAACATTATTTCTCTGATCTTCTGAATTGAATAATACAATATAATGTATTTTTAATCGTACCACTATCCAGATTAGGTCATCTCAGTGAAAAAAACTGAGCTTTGCATTTTTAAGCAGTGTCATACTTTTAAGTATGCAGTTGCATAAACCACACAGTCGGATGTTGTTAACTCATTTCAGAACAAGACATTCTCCTCAGGTGTTCTAATAGCACAGGTTCAGTGCAGAGTAGTACTCTCAAATGCTCTGCTCTAAAAGCCATTCAGACGGTTGAGTGTACAAGACTCGCCATTTCTTCAAAGAATAACTAAGAATTTCATGAAACGGAGATTGTTAAACCACTTTTGTCCAGACAGGACCATTAACTGAGCTCTGTTTATTTAACCTGTGGCCTCTGAAACCAATTTATGAGGCAATTTGTGTCGACTCATCTCTGCTTGTTTCAGGGTTGTAGCCCATTTCTGTCTACCACTGGTGGTTTTACAGATGACCTAGTGAGCTGAAATGAAATAAAAGAAGCAATTCTTAACTTTTACTTGCCTTGTTGTTTTTTTAACAATAATAACCATAATTATCAGCAAAGCTCTCTTGATGTCACCGTCACTGTACGCTTCACTTGGAGTTCTTAAATTAGTTCAGTAATTCTGTCCTACTCAGCAGGTTTTCGTGCTGATGTGGGTAAATGCATTATTTGCTTGCGCATGCAAACAGTGGGACCCTCTGAATTAGTTCTGCCTTTCCAAGGCACTTCCAGGCATTGACGTGTGCCAGTAAGGATTCTACACAAGCCTTCAGCTGCTGAGGAAGGCTCAGGAGATGTAGATATGTCCCAGCTCTACATATATACTCAGGATGCTGAGCTAGTCGTTTTATAATTATGTACAATGGCAAATGTCTGCACTTACAGACCAGCTAGTAACACACAGCTGCTCTACCGACCAGTGGCTGCTTGCATAAAACATCTAAAATATTTATCTTGAATTCAACGCTTAAGGGAAGCATTCAAAGCTGTGCCTTTACATTCAGACCAATTTAGAACTGCCGGAAACTGAAGAGCCACAGCTTAAACTCAGGGTCTAAAACTCAGTTTACAAATTATTAGTTTTTTCACTTTCTGCTTTTCAAGTGAAAATAAGGTAAAAACTCACTCCCATATGCAAAGGAATATATATTTCAAAATATTTCCATATATGTTTGAGATATATGTAAATATTAAACATTTACACTATTACATATATTTCTATATTTCATCTATGTATGTACACATTTTAATATTTGAAAATGGCACAGTGAAATATACTTAGCACATATACCCTAAATCATCATGTATACTGCATATACATATTTCATATGAGCAAATATATGCACATATGTTTTTCATCTATATGGGCTTAAAGGGGTACTCCACCAATTTTTAAATAGCTCAACATAATGGCATAGTGGCCAAAATTTTGGCCCAAAAAGTACTGTTAATCCATTTATTTCAACCCTATCAGGGGAGATGGATAAATACAGGGTGTTGTAAGTCACAATAATCCCTGGAAAAAGTATTTTTTCAGATTTATTACTATGTTACCATCTTCAACATTACACATAAAACCCAGAAGGCCCTTGTAGGTTCACTGGTGGTTTTGGACAGTAAGTAAAATGGCTGTATTTTTGCTGTACACACAGCGACCCCTGGTTCCTGTTACAACCACTGTAAAGAAAATATGTATCTGTAACTTTTTCTACAGTGGACCACTTCATATCAAACCACTCTGGATTACTTTGTTTCCATCCTAACGACGGAATTACGCAAATATTTGGAAACATGGGTGGGATTCCCCTTTAAGACATGCAAGCGACCACAGATCCTAACAAAAGACAGTCAAATACACTTAAGAATGCGCGACCTTTAGTCAAAAATAAGAAGTCTTCCTCCTGCCTGTTACACGCCATAATCATACTTCCTTTATTTCTGTTCTTTCCTGACATGTTCGCGATAATTTAAAAAAAAACGAAAAGTTTGGGTCTTTGGAGAATGCGGGCATCGATCCCGCTACCTCTCGCATGCTAAGCGAGCGCTCTACCATTTGAGCTAATTCCCCTCCATAACACTGATCTCGGATCAGCTGTATAGAAAGCTAACGCTGAATCCCCAGAGTAATCGACAAAAACAGCGGTGAATTGTTGTATAAAAATATTAAATATATCAAAATCCCATAATTTTGACGTTGCGTGACACAGAAATGACTTTTACATTTGTTGCCTTCGGTGGAAAAAACGTACACAAACAACTAGCTGGGCAGCTAAAGTTAGCCTACAACAACGTTAGCTCGCTAAGTCTGCGTTAACCGTTAGCTTGCTAAGACTAAGCGTTTGGCAGGACAGTTTATCAGCTACGAGTGAATTTGTTTCCTGAAAAAGTTCTTTCATTAGTGAGTACAAACTACTTTTCAGGCTGTATCCTACTCGCCAGCTTCTTGTTCGTATTTTCCCGTTCCACCTTAAATGGTGCGGCGCGAGAACGCAGCTGCTGCCATTTAAGGTGGAACGGGGAAATTCGCTTCAGCAAGTTTAGTATGAACGTGTTTACTAACGTTATCTTAACAGGGTCAGCTAATAAACCCCAAATAGTTGGCTAATACTCTCTCTGTCCAGCTAATATTCATCCTTGCGTTATATCCACTGAAGGATGGAGCTATAAACACTAAAAATAGCTGAAAATATCCAGGTGCCATGTTGGAGTTCTCTGGCTGAAATAAAGTAAAGAAACGTCCATCTGTCTTACTCTGAAAAAGCACACTTCTGCCAAAACCTAAAAAGCGTGTCTTAGGGGACTGGAGCTGCTGGAGCTGCAGTAGATAGAGAGGAGAGGAGAGGAGAGGAGGACTGAACTGCACCACAGCGACTCTCTGTCTGACAATTTCACTGCACTTCAGGAACCCACACTTCAGCAGTCAGTAAAAGCCTCTTCTGCCGGGACGATGGTAAGTTGATATTGTCGTTGCACGCCGTAAAATCCCAGTGAGATGCATCTTCTTTGTAATCTTGATAGTTAAATGCGACAGAGCACTGCAGTCAGGGATTCTCAAGGAGACAGAAATATTCAGTTCAGCTGTGTAGGTTATTTTATGCCACTGTGGTGTTACTGCAGCACTGCTGTTTTCCTCTCTTTCCCCATGCAGATAAAGGTGAGCTATAGCAGATCTCTCATGTTGGTCTGAATAAAGGTTATAGGGCATTATAGCCTATTATTTGGCCAACTTAATGCAGCATGTTTGTTTTTGTGATGATGTTGCTCAATGTCAGGACAGCTGCAGAAGAGACAGAAGGGCAAAATGATCTCTCTCATTCACACAACACATGTATACATACAGTAATGAGATGTGATTAAAACTATGAGGAACATAACTGGTTAGCTGTATAAATGGCTCTGTCGCAATAACACAGACAGGGTCCTAAATGTACTTAGTAACATATTCCATTAAATATATTAAAAAGTACCACATTCAGAATACATTTCAAATACATCTTCGCAGATGGGGAATCTTTTATTTACTTAATTCACTCTGTTCCTCACTGTTACTTGTTGGCAGTTTTTGTCATGTAATTATTCTCTTAATATGTTTAATGAAAAAATTGCTTTTCATTTAAATGAAGTTTTAAACATTTTCTTCTCTCTCACCACCTGCTTCACTCCACTACTCCTCCCATAATCCCTCAAGCAGGACAACACCGATGCTAAATTTATCACTCACAAACATGTCCTCTGCTGAGGAGATGATTAGTTTGATCAACCCTCAAAAAGAGCTCAGTAAGATTGAGAGTAATAACTGACTCATCACCAGATTTATCGGTCTACTCCGGCTTCAGCAGAGCTCAGAAACACTCAGATTAATAACTGTCACATTGATTTATCAGTCTACTCAGGCTTCAGCAGAGCATAGTTAACAGTTACACAAGCAGTGATTATGTTTCTTTTGAATACTGTGTTTTTTTATTTAGTGGATAAATATTCTAAAAGTACTTTCCTAAAAATGTAAAAAGTAAGTGTATTCTGAAAACTGCCTTTTCAAAATGTAACTTGGACTGAATATAGACGCTAAATGTCTCTACCCTGAATACATATTCCCAATAGTTGTATTTAGTTACATCCTAACCCGTTGATTGTTTATGATATAAAACGTGATATAATGACAAGAAGAAACAGCTGTCCTGTCATTTGAGCCTGCAGGCCCTCCTTCGTATCAGTATTTTGGCTTGATAGAGGTGAGACTGACTAGAAGCATCACAAAACAATATCATCACGATTCGACTGTGATTTATAAAGTTATGTTATATAAGTATAAATGTGATTGATATACAAATATAAGTTTGGGCACCCCTGGTCAAATGAAGTTAACACATGCTCTACAGAGAACACGCCTGTGGACATTTTAATGCACAATTACTGATTATGTGCTGACTTTAACATATTGGTAAAATAATAAAACATAAAACGTGGCCTGTTATAAAAGTTATGTGAATGTTTTGTATTTTATGTTTGATTCTTCTCCAATATGTTAAAATCAGTAAACAGACTTTGTGCACTAAAATTTGCAGGAAAAATGTCATATTTAAGTCTGTTCCCTGTAGAGGATGCGTTAACATATTTCCACTAGAAAATCAACAAAGCATGTCATTTGACTGGTATTCAAACTTCTGCATAACTGTATTGTGATGTTGTGAAGCAGACTCATCAACAAAAACTTCTTACGTAGCCTGCTGTGGTGTTCGTCCTGCCCTGCCGAGACATGGACACAGGCTTGTGGATGATGCTGTTCATCCTAAACTCCTTCTTAGAAAAACCAGCACAGACCATCATTGCTGGCCACCAGCAAAGCCAGCATATGTTGTGTTTTTGATGATGGTATGCTGGTCAGCAGCAATGAAGGTTATTAGGCTGATCACCAGCAAAACCAGCATATGTAGTGGTTTGGATGCTGGTACGCTGGTCAACCACCATGGCCATACTGGGTGACAACCAGCACTAGGCCAGCATGGAATGCCTGCTGGTCTGGGCTGTTTTTTTTTTCAGCAGGGCTGAGCATGACAACCAAACAACAAAGTGTAGTTTAATTCGTAATTTGTTCATCTTATTGTATGTAAATTACTATTAATATTATCATATACAATACACTACCTGGTAAGTGTAGAAAAATGTTGTTTTAACTGCAAAATCTAGTGTCTCTGTTTGAGCTGGCGTAAGATTTTCGAACAGTAAATTAATGAAACAAAAATGTGTTTTATGCCCTATCAACTTGTTACACGTAGTTCATATAACTAAAATCTTAAGGCAGCCCAGACACTACCTTTTTTCTTAAGTTAGAACTCCAAAAAATGATTTATGCCTAAATCAGATATACAGATTCATTTATGAATATGTTATACTTCAGACAAATCAGGTTTCACTTAAGCATCATCTGTTTTTATGAAAACATTGTATGATTAATTGCAAAGTACCAGCACAGAAAATGAATCTGAAAAGAATCTACTGCCATCTGGCGGTGAAAACCAGAAACTAACAACCTATTCGACCGCTAAACCAACGCCCTAGCCTGATAGCTCGTAGACACAGCTTGAATCTATTAAATTGGATACATACAGCACATATGGACACAAATAAAATAAGAAATATAACGAAATACAATCTAACTTACCTGCAGTGAGTACGGCAACCACAGAATTCGGGCTCATTCCTACTTTGGTGAGCTTATCTGTCCAAGCAAAACAAGCTAGGTTAGCTAACGTTAGCACAGCCTCGCGTACGTTAGCTCTGACAGTAAAACGAGTGAAATACCTCATTCTGACAACACAAACTTAGAAATATTGGTATCTAAAGAGGTATTTTTTCTGAATATAGAAGCTATACGGAACATTACAGTGCTTTACTGTGTTATTTGGATGTTCTTTGGGTCGCTGTCGGGAGGAGTAACGTTACTTACCCACAGCAACGTCCTCAGGCGGTTTAGCCCTGAGGTGTCCAGTAACGAAACGAGGCTGCATTATGCTGACCAAACAGTAGATGGTGCCAAACCCACTCAGCAGGAATTTTATAAGATTATAATTATGAAATGCAAATATTTTACACATTTGCACTCCAAGGCTTAGCAACGTACACTCTAGATCCACAGCTTACAATAGGGTAATGTAATTATTACCGGCGTTTCTCAGTGACTCCCGTCTGAATGCGCCCTGTCAGTGAAGATTCCGGCGCCTTTTATCTTCTGTAATGCCAGCCATAAAAATAACATCAGTTTATATTAATCCTATGTGAATCGGTAAAAACACTATCATATTCTGTGGAAACGGAGTTTGTTAAGCATGGAGACACAGAGGATACGCTTACTTGTGGTCCCTGGCGAAGCTCAAGTCAGTTCCCTGTTCGAATTTTCCCGTTCCACCTTAAATGTGGGGCAGTGGAACGGCCGAGGCCCCGGAATGTAACTGCTGCACCATTTAAGGTGGAAAAAGAAGCTGGCGAATAGGATCAGCCTACTCACGTTTCAGCAGGGTTTAGAAACACTGAGGTTAATAACTGATCATATTGATTTATCAGTTTACTTAGGCTTCAGAGGAGCTCAGTAACGCTGAGGTTAATAACTGATCATATTGATTTATCAGTCTACTCAGGCTTTAGCAGAGCTCAGTATCACTGAGATTAATAACTGATCATAGTGATTTATCAGTCCACTCAGGCTTCAGCAGAGCTCAGTAACGCTGAGGTTAATAACTGATCATATTGATTTATCAGTCTACTTAGGCTTTAGCAGAGCTCAGTATCACTGAGATTAATAACTGATCATAGTGATTTATCAGTCCACTCAGGCTTCAGCAGAGCTCAGTAACGCTGAGGTTAAGAACTGATCATATTGATTTATCAGTCCACTCAGGCTTCAGCAGAGCTCAGTAGCACTGAGATTAATAACTGATCATCACATTGATTTATCAGTCTACTCAGGCTTTAGCAGAGCTCAGTAACACTGAGATTAATAACTGATCATCACATTGATTTATTAGTCTACTCAGGCTTTAGCAGAGCTCAGTAGCACTGAAATTAATAACTGATCATCACATTGATTTATCAGTCCGCTCAGGCTTTAGCAGAGCTCAGTAACACTGAGATCAATAACTGATCATCACATTGATTTATCAGTCTACTCAGGCTTTAGCAGAGCTCAGTAACACTGAGATTAACAGAATTCCTCTTCCTGTTGGAATTTTCCTGTTCCACCTTAAATGTGCGGCAGTTGAACACCGGAGACCCCAGAATGTAACTGCTGCACCATTTAAGGTTGGAAAGAGAAAATTTGAAAAAGAAGCTGGTGAATAGGAAGCCAACTTCAGCCTCGTTGTTTTCTGTGGCTAAAATCAGGTTGATATTTAACATTACTGTCCTGTCTTACATGTACAACTCAGAACATGTGAAAATTACAAGAAACAAGTTTGATTTTATGCACTGAAGTTGACTATTTGCTGTGAATTCAGCTAATGGTGATGCTAATGAATCACTGCAATCACTTCGGTTAAAACAGAAAGGTAAATAGGGTAAAGGAAATAAGGACTAAGTTTAATGTTTTAATTTCTTTTCTACCCTTTTTCCTACGGAGCCCTGCTGGTGACATCCTGTATAAATAAAAATAATGTAAGGTGTGGGAATAAGATAATTAATCGTGGCCACCACTTAGAAAGGTGTGGGGCTATGCATTAGGATCTCGTTCCCATGCCTTACCAAGTCGTGGCCACAACTTAATTATCTTGTTCCCATGCCTTACTAAGTTGTGGCCATGCATGATTTTTATTTATACAGAACGTCACCAGAGGGGCTTCATACATTTCTGGAGTAAAGGCAGCGCATAAATCAAGTAGCCACTTCCATCTCTGTCATTTATACCGAGATTTCTTATTCTGTGCGAATTGCTCATAACATTTCAGACATCCTGAGGTAAATTTTCACTACCCCACCTCCCTTGGAAAATTAATCCTGTCCGAATAGGGCTTTAGACGTCTAGTTCAGCGACTCTTATCGCTGTAACGGAGGCACACCTGCCTGGACTACGAATCAAACCTCAGTCAGATGTTTTATCCACTGGCTTCTACTATAGCTGACACTATATTTCTTACCAGAATGGAAAAAAAGACTTAAAATCTCATTTTTGGACTTAAAAAACAATGGATTTCTGTGTCTACCATCAGGTTTAATACATGTTAAAATATAATTATAAATTAAATAATAAAATATAAGTCCTGGACATCTGTATACTGAAATTTTTTAATTCAAATGTTGTGATAACTATGTTCCATTGATTTTCTTCCACCCTGTGACTGGAAAATAACCCTCTTTACTGCTTGTGTTTTATCTGAAGCTTCATGTGAAGCTGTGGTGGCTGGCATCGCTCAGCGCCGTGCTGTTATTCTCACCCGCCACGACCCCTTACCCTGCTGACTCGGACAAAGGGAGGAGGAAAGTGGTGCATGTCCTGGGTAAGGTCCAATTCTTTCATGTTTGTGTGGGTTTATGAACCACAAATGGTCAGAATTCCTCTTTACATGGCTATCTCCTAATGTCTCTGTGACCATTATCAACTTTTTCTTATCCTTCAGAATTCACCCCTTAAACTGTATTATTCAGTGATTAATATTTAAATGTATTATTCAGTAACTACTAAAAATTGATGTTTATGTGAAAATTTAACCCATAAAAATTGAGTTACTACTGCCAGCTTGCTATATTATTCAAACATAATTGCACAATTACATATTTAATTACACAGTTACATAATGAATGACATTTACTCAACAGACAGGTTCAAGTCTGCACTTCTGACTTTTTCAATTTGTATTAATGTCAAAAAATGACAAAAATAGAGCAAAAATGTACAGAATGGCTTTTCTTTCCTCAAAACAAGATGGCACACAAAACAATAACTTTTCGTTACATTCACATAAAAATAAAATATCTCCTTTTTTACTTCTTCCTACAGACACAAATGTGATATTGATTAAAAGTTTAGAATCTGCACTTTCCGCACAATTTCTCTATTTGTTTCAATGTAAAAAATTATTCATGTAAAATTATAGCATGTTATTGTTAATGCTGTGAGTTAAGGGGTTAAACAGCTTTTTGTTACTGTGCCTATAAAACTCATATATGTAAATGACCTCTGTTCTGACTCATTCAAAATGCAGTCCATGTTGAAACACTCCGTCTGACTTCATCATGAATAGACAGGCTAAACTGCTGTAAGCTGAGTAGGAGGATGTATGTTAATGTGCTCATGGCTGTGACATCACAAAAACAATGAATTCAAAACAGACCATACTGACTGGGAAGTGTGGTAAGTTTAGAAACTTTAACAGTGTTTACATGTTGCATACAACTCCTTTATTTACAAAAATAAGAACATTTGGGTTACCATGATATGGGCCATTTAAAGTGCAACACGCTAAACTGACTAAGCAAGCATGTTAGACCAAAGCACCTCGGGTTTGTACCCGTCTTTTCTCTTTTCTAAAAACCTAAAAAATGAAATAACAGCATATTAAGACATCAAAGAATACAACTGTACAAAGAACCTTTATAGATACAGGGAAAATAAATGTTAAACCTGTTTAAATGGGTGACTTGTAGTGCAACAATATGCATTTAATTGTCAGGAAACATTTGGGCACAAATGATTTAACAGATGCTCAAGAGAAATACAAAGTACTGTGTAAAAGCCAGACATCACCCTTTATTTACTTAATTTACAGTCTAAACTAGAGCCCTTCTGGTGACATCCCATATAAATAAAAATAATGCGTGGCCACACCTTATTAACGCATGGGAACGAGATCCTAATGTGTAGCCATGACTTAGTAAGGCGTGGGAATGAGATAGTTAAATCATGGCCACGACTTAGTAAAGCCTTGCTAAGTCGTGGACATGTATTATTTTTATTTATACGGGATGTCACCAGCGTCACTAGATATTCATGTGGAGATTAGATAATTCACTTGCATAAGGAAGAGGAAAGTCAAAGGAAAAGAAGTGAAAAACAGAAGTTTCCAAAATTGGAGTTCAAAAAACAGTTAAGATTCTAACAAGCATGCAAGACCTGGTAGACCACCAAACCTCTCCCCATCAGATAAACAGTACCTAAAGCTTTCATCTTTGAGAGAGAGGAGAAAATCAAGCTTCAGAAAAAATCCACAGGTGTTTCTGTCCATCCTTTCAGTGTGAGAAGACAACTCAGTGCTATGGGTCTGAAAGGATGTGTAGCTGTAAAGAAGCCCTTACTGAGAAAATTAAACAGAGAAAAAGAAAAACAAAAAAACAACCACAAATCGAGCTAAGAAGCTGCTCAGAACATTGGGCTGGAGTCCAGACCTCAACATCACTAAATGTGTTTGGGGCTTTTTGGACCATGAGAAGCAGAAAATGCAACCAGCTTCTAAGACTGAACTTTGGAGGTGTGGAAAAATATCCCTGCAGATTTCTGAAAGCAAGTATTCTGAAAAGAATGGAAGCTGTAATAATGGCAAAGAATGGACACACTAAATACTGAAAAAATGATATTATATTTAGTCAACAAGGCTTCTGTGTACTCCTGAAAAATGACATACTTGTACTTAACAGCTGTTTGACTAGAAATTCAATAAATGAAGTGTGGTCTCTGACTTACTGCACAGTACTGTATGATACAGTGTGATGTTCAGGGACAAACAGTTTGCACACACTGTGCTTTCACACTGTTCGTATACTGCATGAGTCCTGGGGGAGGTGAAAGAGACCTTCATAATTTTATAGATTTAGTGCCTGTCCTTGTGTATCCTTCGTGCTCATTTATTTTTGTTAGGGCTCATAAGTTTTAGGTTAAGACTCCAGTCAAGTGGAATGCATGAAATATATGAAGAGAGTTAGAGCTTCTGCATGTTTATGAGCAAGTTTGTTGGTCTTGAAAGTAAGTACACATGCAGTAAACACTTTAAGACCCCAGAGGGTTAAGTAAAGGGGTAGATTCTGTTGCTTAGATATTAGTGGTGTGCTGCCATGTGCTGTCCTGCTCTTTTCTTTGTCATCTGCCGTGAAACAGGCCTCTGTAAAAGCAGGCTGCATTGTTGTCCCCATCATGGTGTGGGTTCACGGTGTTTTGGCAGCTGCAAATTACCTTGAATTGGGTCTGTGGTTACCATGACATGGGCTTTTAATTTATGTCCTTTTTGCCCAAACACATCCTTGGCTCTTTAGATGTCAGGCTCTGAATTAATGCGAGGATCTGTTTACCATTCAGCTTTCATCGGCACACATTCGTTGGCGACAAACATTTCGGACAGACACTGAGCGGAGAGTTTTAATGACCAGATGTCAGGGCTGATTTTAGGCACTGTGATCTGTCCTGAAAAGCACAGACGGTGCTGAGCCGGGACATTGTTTAGCTGCCCAGGGCACTCAGAATGAAAGAAGGAGAGGCCTGGAGTGCGTGCGTCTGAAATGAAATGCAGCTCCTGGGGGTCTCCTGTGGATCTAAACAATCTCCCAAAAGAAATCAAGGCGTGGGATGTTGGCCTGCTTAAATAAGACTGACCAGAAATCATGTGCTTACCGGACAAAAAAACAATCCCCACAGAATGCAGGACTTAAAGCAATAGCTCAGTCCAAAATGCTAATATTGCTGACAGTCAGTGAAGTTGTACATCCACCAGTTATCCCACTAATTGGAGGCTTCTAGCTTCCATTCACTGTTAGCCACATTAGCATGTTTGATCAAGCTGTTCCTTTGCCAAAAAAAATGATCACAGCTTTGAAATAACAAATACTCCATTTATTAAAAAAATTGGTATATATGATACAACAAATTTGGAAAGCTTGAATAAATGAGTGGAGAAGCATGCAGATGATAGAGTTAAACAATCAATATCCTATCATGATCTGTGACATTTATGAAAATGCTGGACAGGCCCAGTTGACCTCGATTTTGATAGGATGACGAAAAGTTTGAAGAGGTTTTGAAAGAGGGTTCATTATTGGTAGTAATGCACCAATTATTCTTGACCAAACATAAACCAAAATTCAGGACACACTCAGCCAATAACCAAAAGAAAAGATTATTTTATGTATAATTGGGTGTTTGAGTTAAAATATTAATTCTGAGGATGCTTCAAAGGAAGCAATAGGGAATAAGAACTGACAGGCAACTGTAGAACTAATCTAAACAGCTTGCTAAACACTGTAATATAAAATATTTAAAGTTGCAAAATTATGAAAATATAACACTTCATGATATCCCAAAAGCATCTAAAGCTGAATTCCAGAGCGCCACCTCTATGAAGATGGAAACACCTCATTTTTGAGGATGTGAAGCATGTGAGCGTGGCTTTTGGAACTCCTGTCTAGCACTCTTAAGTGTCTCCAGCAGGAGGCGTTATTAGCATGCAGTTCCCTTCAGTGTTCACCTTTTAGAGAAGAAACATCCATAAACCTAAGGAGGATCTCATGACTACAGTAACAGCTTTCAAAACTAGAGGTAAAAAGTTAATTACTAAAAGATATTAAATTACTTGATATTATTTATGTGTTTTCTATTTAAAAACATTAAATCAGATAATGCTTAAAAGCATGTAAGACTGCACAGGACACAGCTGCAGTGGACCGTGTTTGAGTGTTTCACTGTTTATCTGCTGCTGCTCAAACTGTTTTAACACATCTGTGCTGTGCTGAAAACATTGGCGGCTTAGATTTCAGTGCATCCCTAATTATTAGAGCACAAATAGAAGGAGCCTCAGTCACAAAGACAAAGGCTAATGTTTCAAATGGACTTCAATGTGACTGAAATGATGTCTGCATTTAGATCTATGAATAAGACATCAGTAAATAGGTTTGGAAACTGGGGTCGAAAGCGCACATTGAATGACCATGATGCTCATGCAGTATTGGATAATGCGAGGAAAACAGAAGAGCAACTGTTCCCCAGGTAATGTCAATGCAGGACGTGATCAGACTGAGAGAGATATTATAGTAAGGCTGCAGTGCATAAACCCCTCATTACAAAGATAAATGCACATCTGAGAGTTCAGTGATGTAAAACCACAGGCACTGGTTTACAGAGATGTGGAAGGAAGTGATCTGATCAGATGAGTCGTTCTTCACCATGTTCTCCACAAGTGGGCAAGTGCAGCTTACACTAAGAGAACAGTACAAGCCTGAATGTTTGACCCTTACAGTGAAGGGGTACGGTGACTCTGTTAAGCTGTGGGGGGCATTTTGCTGGCATAGTTTGGAACCACCATCCAAGCTAGCGTGGTCAGACCTATGCCTCCTTTTTTCTGTTTTAGAGGATGATACTGGAGCAGTGATTGTACAGACCGCTCCGGGTAAAGTGATCACACATCGTGGCGGTACCATCACACTGCCCTGCCGCTTTCACCACGAGCCTGAGAACGTTGATCCAGCCCGCATTCGCATCAAATGGACCAAGGTGACGGATGCCTTTCAGTTCGAGGATGTGTTTGTGGCTCTTGGCCGGCAGCAGCGGGCATTCGGGCCGTACCGTGGGCGTGTGGCTCTGGAGCAGGCCGGGCCAGGGGACGCCTCAGTCATCATTCACAATGTCACCCTGCAGGACTACGGCCGCTACGAGTGTGAGGTCACCAACGACATGGAGGATGACACAGGATTCGTCAGTCTGGACCTTGAAGGTTTGGGCTAGATTCAAGACTTGTTCTAATGACATCATAGACATTACCTGTCAGAAGCTTTTTTTAAATGACTTTATTGCAAATGAGCTAGATCTCTTTCTCAGTGGGCAGTAACTTAAGAAAGGCCTTAACCATGTTAGCCTACTGACCTGTGCTTACGAGGCTAATATAGCTAATTTGTATTCCACCAGGAACCATCCAACCATGTCTATCTGAGATTACTTAACAACTCTGTTTCACAGCGTTTATGTGATAATTTTGATATGTGCGTTGCTAAGCTTGTGGCTACAATCTTCCACTGTTAGCTACATTAGCTTTCTAGCTTGTGTGCTAAACTAAAGAAGCAAATGTCTTGGCCAAGAAACTACATGGGTAATAATAAATTGTGTAAATTTCATTTTTGGCCAAAAGATTACTTTAACTGTAAAATAAGAGAGAGAAAATTTGAACTTCAAAATAAGGTAACTTTTGACTTTGTGTTGTACTTATACTGCTGATCCAAGTTTAATTCAAAAGTAAAATCTACAGGTGTTGTCTTCCCGTACTACCCTCGGCTTGGACGCTACAAGCTGAACTACCATGAGGCGGAAGAAGCGTGTAAGCAGCAGGATGCCATCTTAGCCTCCCACTCCCAGCTTCACAAGGCCTGGCTGGAGGGGCTGGACTGGTGTAACGCTGGCTGGCTGGAGGACGGCTCGGTGCAGTATCCCATTGCACACCCACGAGATCAGTGCGGCCGCAAGGACACTCCTGCTGGAGTCCGCAACTACGGCTACCGGCACAAAGAGGACGAGCGCTACGATGCCTTCTGCTTCACCTCAAAGCTCAATGGTGAGTGCAGTCCACCAGGAATACAGTGAGCAGAAAAGAAAACTGAAAACAAATTTTTGTGCAACCTCACAGTTATTATGACAGCTAGGCCTGTCACAGTTATTATGTAATCACCTGGTCGCAGTTATTTGAAGTGATCCCAATTATTTTCTACAGTTGATAATATAATATGTTTATGTCTCAGTGTTTCTGTATGTTTGTTTGATGTTTGTTATGAACACCTTTAGGGGCGACAGTGAGTAATGTTTGTTTGATGTTTGTTAATAACACCTTTAGGGGCGACAGTGAGTAATGTTTGTTTGATGTTTGTTAATAACACCTTTAGGGGCGACAGTGAGTAATGTTTGTTTGATGTTTGTTAATAACACCTTTAGGGGCGACAGTGAGTAATGTTTGTTTGATGTTTGTTAATAACACCTTTAGAGGGTGGCAGTGAGTAATGTTTGCTTGATGTTTGGTAATAACACCTTTAGGGGGCGACAGTGAATAATGTTTGTTTGATGTTTGTTAATAACACCTTTAGAGGGTGGCAGTGAGTAATGTTTGCTTGATGTTTGGTAATAACACCTTTAGGGGTGACAGTGAATAATGTTTGTTTGATGTTTGTTAATAACACCTTTAGAGGGTGGCAGTGAGTAATGTTTGCTTGATGTTTGGTAATAACACCTTTAGGGGGCGACAGTGAATAATGTTTGTTTGATGTTTGTTAATAACACCTTTAGAGGGCGGCAGTGAGTAATGTTTGTTTGATGTTTGTTAATAACACCCTTGGGGGGGGACATTGAGTAATGTGTGTTTGATGTTTGTTAATAACACCTTTAAAGGGCGGCAGTGAGTAATGTTTGTTTGATGTTTGGTAATGACACCTTTAGAGGGCAGCAGTGAGTAATATTTATTTATTTGATTTTTGGTAATGACGCCTCTAGAGGGCAGCGATGAGTAATGTTTAATTTATTTGATGTTTGGTAATGACGCCTTTAGAGGGCAGCGTTGTGTAATGTTTGTTTATTTGATGTTGACACCTTTAGAGGGCGGCAGTGAGTAATGTTTGTTTGATGTTTGGTAATGACACCTTTAGAGGGCAGCAGTGAGTAATATATTTATTTGATGTTTGGTAATGACACCTTTAGAGGGCAGCGTTGTGTAATGTTTGTTTATTTGATGTTAACACCTTTAGAGGGCGGCGGCAAGTAATGTTTGTTTATTTGGTGGTTTTTAATAATCATCAGCTAAAATTAAATTAATGATTGCGACAGGCTCACTGACAGAAAGAAAACTCAGTTAGCTATTTTAAAATGCAGTTTTCCGATTAATAAAAACGAAATAAAAGAATGGCTCTTTGAGCTAACATACTGTGTGTATGGTAGGCATATTAAAATGTCAGTGAAATCAGTCACTTTATTCAATAACAGCAGAATCTGAATGGAATAATAATGTTATTAACTACTTTGGTGGGAGGTGCTTTCTCAGGCATGGATTAAACCATGTCTTGGCCTCGATTTCAAAGCCAACAGTGATTTAACATTGAAAACACTATTAAGTCTAGGCTTAGCCTTAATCTGGGTCTGGGAAGTCAGCCATGGAAGTTGAAAATGATTTAGTTCCTGTTATTGATTACATCCTGTGAAAAATATTGTTCACTTCCTTATCTTTTAACCAGGCTAAAGGGGGTCGTTTGCTTCCCCCTGTGATCTAGGGAGGCCTCAGGCAGGTAGACGAGGGCCAGCCTTTGTTAACTCAGCTCTTACCGAAAGGGCCGGAGGGCCCCTGCCTCTGTTTTCATCGCCCCTCCTTTGATAGGCCCTCGCCAAACGGTGCCAGTTCCAGCGAGGTCCAGGTTGCAGGCAGATGCTGATTAAAGAGCCTGCAGAAACACAGCTCGCAGCGCCACGCGCCCAACATGGTGCTGACAGAATGATGCATCTGCTACAACAAAATTCTCCAAATCAAATTTTGGTGGGAAATATGATTTATTATGACGGCTGGGGTGCAGAGTCAGATCGTGACTGTGTAGGAATAATGAGTGTAAAGTCCAAGGAGAACCAAATTCATTTTGTCTTTTGGAGGAAGTGTGTGTGCGTGTTGCGTGTGTTTTATTCTAATGTTTAAACAATTTGTAGAGAAGTGCTGTAATGTCAGATGAGTGCATTACAGCTCTTTGGGTCCACTTGCAATTTGGGGAGCCAACAGGCTTTTCATTACATCCTCAAAGCATGCTCACAGCGAGGGCAATTGCAGCTGATACTCTGACACTGACCAGCTGGAGGACCTTTACAGAATGGCCCCTGGGGAAATATGAGACAATACTCCTGCAAACAGACAGCAGCCATATCAACAAACAGAGCACTGATGGGTGAGCTCAGGGATGTGGAGAGATAGAGGTCTTTAGAAGTGAAAATCAGTTTTGTCTCAGGCATGAAGACAGTTCAGCTTCAGGCCTGCAGATGAAACTGCATTGTGTTTCGTCGTGGTTCTCCACAGTCAAGATCCTTTTGATTTCTGAAATTCACTTTCTGACAGTGAAAGAAAACAGAAACACTTTATAGTCGTTTTGATGGAGAGCTCTTGCCTTGCACGGCTGGGGATGCGTTTTCGGGCCTCTGCAGTGCTGTATGATTGGAAATTCCAAGCACAGTTTAGACTCTGGGCAAGGAAAAGCATGGAGAACTGTAATCTCTTCAAAGTCTTTTCTGTTTACTAGACTTTCTTGTGTGTCTATTTTAGGCCAGGTTTACTTCCTCAAACGCTTCAAGAAGGTCAATTACCCCGAGGCTGTGAAGGCTTGCCAGCGTGACGGTTCAGCAGTGGCTAAAGTGGGCCAGCTCTACGCTGCCTGGAAGTTCCAGCTTCTGGACCGCTGTGAGGCAGGCTGGGTGGAGGACGGCAGCGTCCGCTACCCCATCGTCAACCCTCGTGCCCGATGCGGAGGCTCCGAGCCTGGCGTCCGAAACCTCGGCTTCCCTGACAAAAAGTTCCGTCTTTATGGGGTCTACTGCTTCCGCAAGAATTCCGGCAGTCCTGAAGCCCAGACCACACAGGCTCCGATTAGAACCACCACCAAATTCACCAACAGCACCAGGAGTATTTGAAACCCGCGCTGCTTTGCTAGTATCATGGCTTCCGCAGCTTAGCCAACATGACTGACAAATAAAGCAGATCAGCTAACCGTAGCCAGGCTAGCGCCATGTGATTGCGCCTATGCTGTATTACCCTTGCCTGAAATGAAATATCAGTTGTGTCTGAAGAAAGCAGTTTAGCTCGTACTTTCTTTATGAAGCCTGGCCTAGCCTGAGCTGACTGCAACAAAGCTCATTAGCTTCTTTCTTTAGCGTCGTGTTTTGTATGTAGGCTAGCTTGGAGGTTTGATGAGGACTGGGCTTTGGATTTAGCTGTTTTGTTTATTCACTGTGTCAAGAAGAAAAATGTTTCAGAGAAAGCCCAGGCATCACACTAATTAGCGCGCGAGCCAGTCGGAGAGCTAATTTAGCGCACCTCGTAATGAATGCGGCACATTAGGGAAAGGCCTCGCTAGCCTGGTGACGATGGAGACGAGAGGGGAGGGAAAGCTGGAGCTCCAGTCAGGTGTAAGCATGAGCTCGGCTTGGCACAGCATGGCTTGGGTCTTTTATTCAGTTCTCATCTCAGTAGCAGTGCCAGTTACTCTGCACACAATGATTGATTGTAGACTCAAGCACCTTTTACAAGCATATTTTAGATGATCCTGAAAGCAATAACTCGCTAAGCATGTGTCTGGTAGCTGATTATTCCAGCGAGTCGATGACTTCGTTTCATGCTGCTGCTTCACTACCTCATTAGTGGTCAACAATTGCACTATTCATTCAAATGTGATGCGGCACAGTTTTATCTTCAGTACTGCATTTTAGATTAAAGTTATTTACCTGTTTATGTTTGTCTGCTTGTTCTTTGCTTCCACACAACTGATTATAAACAGGCTGAACTTTTATAATAAAGAGAAGAAATAATGGTTACTGTTGATTGTTAGTAAGCAAAGGCTCTGTCTCTGGCAAACTGCATAGATTTTTTTGGAAGCAACTAAAGTGTCTGCAGTGTTTCAAGTGCCAAGATCCCTGGAAAACACTTGAGGAAATTTGTTTGCTGGGCCAAAACAAAAGTGACAAGCGACAGTCACAACGAGGCCTCATGAAATTTCAAGAGGCAGCAATTCATTAACCCAACAAAATTAGGCCGCAAGATGTGTGATCTTTTATTACAGGCTTTGTGTTTTGTTCAGTGCTGCTGTTTACTGTCTGTAAAGATATTCCAGACACAAAATTAGCCTGTGCTGAGATAAAATGCATCAAAGGTAATGAAAAGCATTAAGCTTCAGTCAAGAGATTAATCCACTAACATTACGGTGTGGCATTTTCTAATGAGATTTGTTTAAGCAGTTGTTTGGATGGTTTTAGTTTTCACAGTAAAAAGCTTTCATCAGCAGCTGTTGACGGACTTTGAAGTGGTATTTTTGGTGGTTTTAAAAACTTCATGTCAGGCAAGGAGACCCCAATATCTCTCTATTGCACACATTATGAGAGCAGTGTTGAAAACAAGGACACACAGAGGCAGTCAAGCAAAGCTCTGCACTTCTGAAGCCTCAGAAAGTATTTGACTGCTAGTGGGGACCCCTTGTGGAGAATATTTAGCCTGCTAAATGTGGGTTAGTGAGTGAGTTACAAGCCAGATCTATGAAGTGCTTTACATCTAAAAAGGTGTGTTTTTTGTATAAAATGGATCTAATCATTAAAATAAAAAACAGTTTAAATATTCATAATGGAACTGAAAAACTACACAATTTATACATCTTTATATATCTAAAATATGAAATTTGATTTCATTTTTTTTCAACATAACCGTGTTACCAGGATGAAACATTGTGAAGTAATGTTTCAATTTGTTGCGCACTAACTACTTGTAACAAGTAACCAACTTACAGTTAAACCATGCTAAAGCATAAAAAGGATCTGGTCGTCTTCAAGTAATTTATTATTTTATTATTTGTTTTATTATACAAAACTCATAAAACTAGTAAAACATGCCACATGCCAACATATACTGCTGCTTCAAGACAGATTTGACTGATTTGACTTTAGCCACTAATATAGTTAAATACCAAAAAAGTTAGATTTCCTAAATAAGCAAATAATTCTGAATAAAAAGTATTTCTAAATGAAAAATAAATGATACCTGCAGTGTTCTGTCAAGTGGACACTTCACTTGCTTCAAGCTAGTCACTCTGTTGCTTCTAGACAACATATATATTTAAGCAATTTCTAAACAAAAGACTTATTTATATGAACTCCACACTTTAACAGACATAAATCATATTGGATGGATGGATGAAAAATGATGAAAAATTGATTTTCTGAGGGGAACTCTCCTCCACGGGTGCCAGTAACAATTTTAAAATCATGCACTTGCAGAGAGTACATCATTTTTGTTTTATCAAACTCTTCCCTTCACTATTATCTCTTTCTTTGTCATTAAATATGTATCACGTCAGTGTAAGGTGACGAAAATGAGTTATTTATCCTGAGGCAACATTGCGCAACAGAGTGACACACAGGCTCGGACTGCATATTGGCTTTAGGAACACAGGGGAACCGAGCAGAACAGGGCTCGTGAGCATGAGCCGATGTGACATGTTGCTCCTGAGAGTGTTGCTTTTCAATTCATTTGGTCCGTCTTTTTTCTTCCCTCAGCATAAAGTGAAATTAGGTGACCCTGGAACAATTGAGTGGACCCCGAGGGTAAATAGAGCTGAATCAGAAGCCACGAGCCTCTATATGTGTCCCATTTCTCAGCTGCTGACAGGAGGCACGAAAAAAAAAAATCACACACAACAAGATATTCAGGCTCATAGGGAGTATTACAAAAGATCTCCACAAAGGCATGGCCAAGGTGAAGGCCTGAAGACCTCTCCCGATTAGCTGAGACTGACCTGAATCTGCCTACATAACAGCTAAGCAGAAATGCCGACTGCTGGAGACGCTGTAGCGATTAATTTGTTGTGAAATAAATGAGTAATATGTAATATATAAATCATTTTGCTTGGAACATCCTTCAAACAAAGACTACATGATTATAAAACAGTAATATATCCATCTCTTTATGCAAATATGGAGCTCTCTACTAGAGAATAAAGACGGCCTGTATACATAATGAATTAGAAACACTCATAGAAGAGAGTAATTGGCTAAATTGTTTAAAGAGAAATTCCCTCGAGCAAAAGCATTTAAATTTACAAAGCTTCAGAGGTAATTTGAAGTGTTAAACATCTAACGAAGCATTTTTGTAGATAATGAACTTGTGCACACATCGTGCGTCTTTGAGATCTCCTCCAGCAGAGAGCATTTGTTTCTTTGTTTGTCTAGGCTGCCTTCTCTTGGAACAGGAGTCCTGCTGTTCGGTTGCGATTGGAAGCCATCACAAGCGCAGATCAAGAGAAAGTGAGGCGCTTACAGATTGAGATTGAGGTGGCAAAAGGAAAGCAGGAGGTTAATGAAACCGCTCAGGCTCTTCACAGGTCTGAGCAGGTCATTCCTTCGGTCCAAGAAGCACGAGGAACAAGAAGGACGTCACGTTGCTAGAGTCAAAACCCAGAGGTGAACAGTGGAGGTATAGGCAGGGGTTTGATTAGCTGCATTGACTCAGAAACACATAGTGAAGTAAAATTTTGATTGATTTGTGCTTTCCTTAGTATTTACGTACATATTTACGTTATACTTTCACATCTAATCAAGTATAATTGCGAGGCACGGAATCTACTGATTTTAGTCGTTAACATTTGGTTACTAATACTCTTTTTGGTTTCATTCTGGTATGTTGGTGACAGTCTATACTGTGATTGGTCGGACCCCTCACTCTTGAGGTTAATCATTTTATTGTAATATACAGATAATCCAGATATGTAGATAATTAAAGTCTTACGGATGTATAGACAGCCAGTCAGAGTGGTTTAAAGTAAAATGGTTCCTTGTACAGAAACTTACCAACTCTGATTTCTTTACAGTGTTGATAATAGGAACCAGGGGTTGTGATGCCTATAACATAAATATAACCAATATACTTATTTTGGTTCCACTATAATAAGAGTACTCTTATAAAGGTTCATGAATGGTTTAAAAATAGTTTATTAATGGTTATTAATCTGTTCATACATACCTTAAAAATCTTTAGTAAGCAGTTACAACACATAAATAAGAAGGGAAACACTGACATGTTGTTTGCCTAACTATGCTGAGCTCGGATGTTGCTGGTCACTGATCTTACTGTGTCTTTTTCATCAGTCAGTGTTAAACCTGTCAGTCTTTTCTCATATTCATGTTCATCAAATATAACAGCTCACTTTTGCCTACTTTATTAATGTGCTCTAACTGTTTATTGATGCTTTTTAAGGTGTTTATGAACTAATTAATAACCATCAATAAACTAATTGTAGGCCATTCAAAAACCTGATTAAGGGTAGTCTTATTTTAAAGTGGCACCCTTACTTTTTACTTTATTTAGAGAACAAGTTTAAGTAAAGTAAGTAATAGACCTAGAAGTCGTGTCGCCATTCTGTAGTCTGCAGCTGTAAAAGTGTCAAAATATGAATGCTGCTATATGAAAGCTAATACTACTGCGCACTGAAGTGACGTCATTAGACTGGCAGCATTCTTAACACTCTTACATGGCCAAAGTTCTATTACACACTTCTGTAACCTAAAAATAGTCAGTTTGCATTGAAGTCCCTGTAGTTACTGAATAATAAGCCTTACTATGTAATAAGCCTGAGATTTTAAGGGGTTAAAAAAGATGCAATCCAGCATGCTTTGCCCTGTTGTAGACCTTGTGACCCCTGGTTCCTCTCAGCACCACTGTAAAGAAATCAGAGTCTGTAAGTTTCTCTGCCATTAAACATTTTAACCACTCTGAATGACTTTGATTACGTCTCAACAAGTGAATTATGCCAAAGTTTTGACCAAAAAAACAGTAGAACTCCCCTTTTAACGGTCTTGAAATCTAGGGATGATGCAGCCCTCTCAGCGCCCCCACTTCCCATGTCCCTGCCTATGGGTATATGGCGCATGCTACTCAAAGCCATGCCACAAAATTAGGAAGCCCTTTTTTCTGGTTTTGGTCCAATTAAAAAGCAAAGCTTTCAAGCGTTTTAACCCCTTGAATTGCAGGCTTGTTATTCAGCCATTAATCTTTACACTTATTATTCAGTAACTACTATGAAACTAATTGGGCCCTTGGGGTTTAAAGGGATTTTCACATTCACAGTGATCTTCACAGACGTTAAAGATATACAGTCGTATGCAACAGTTTAGGAGTCCCAGGTCAAATTACTGTGGATATTAGCGTTTACCCTCATCTAACACTCTGAATTCAGATCATGAAGGCCTTTCTAATTAGCTGATGAGCTGAATCAGGTGTGTTTAACGAGGCAGTGTGAGGAAGTCTGCAGTGTTTTGGTCCGCAAGGAATGGAGCTTGACACGCCTGTTTTAAGTGAAAATAAGTTAGCGCACCCCCTACACAGGGAACACTTCTGCACATTTTAATTACAGCACAATTACTTTTACTTCCTGAAAAAAAAACACCATAAAATGTGGCCTGTCTAAAAGTTATGGCACATTTTATATTGTATGCAAAGTTAAACTCAGCAAATAAATAGAAATTGTGCATTAAAATTTGCAGAAAATGCCACAGGTTTGTTCCCTGTAGATGATATTTTATCTTATTTTCATTTCAACAAAATGTTGAATTTGACCAGGGTAAACAACTGCAGTTCAGTGAAAAACAAAATTTAAAAATATATTGAAATATAATTGTCACACTAATTGGTGACTACTAAATACTAGCTTTGTGGTTAGCTTTGTTAGCATGCTGTGTAGCCCAATGT